AGCTCACCTAGGAGAATAAGTGTGGGTGCCACTTGCGGCTCGTTTTGAGTCGTGACATAAACAGATCCCCTTAGGTATCTCAACTATATTATTTTCCTATTGAATCATTGAACCACTCAATAATTTACTCCTTTTAAAAATCATTGACTGATGTGGAATCGGATTTTGTGAGGGGAATTGATAGAGGATACATATGTTGTTCCAGAACTCATTAATCCAACTGATAGTGAAACTGTTCGAGAATAGTTGTGTTTTATTTCAAGTTATTTGAACACATTAGAAAACAAATGAGACTAATATATAGTTTGTCTTCATTTCTTCAGTCGAAATCATTATGATACGAACACATTTGAAGACATTTATAATAGAATAGCCGATCAAAATCTGTCAACAGTATTTAAAAGGAATAAATTTTGAGTGGTTCAATGATTTAATATGAAAATTGCATAGTTGAGGTACTTAAAGAGAATAACCCAACAAGTTTAGGAATCTAATTATGAATTCGATATTTTTATAAAATTAAACAAATAGACCACATTCTTCTTGCCTGCCATTATACGTAAATAAATTAAATTTTACATAATATCATTCATATGCTATGCCATATAGGATATATATGTTTATTTTATAGTACCTTCCATTAGAATATAATAGATCGATTGTCTAAATTTCATTCAGTGATAATTTAAGAGGTTGATCTTTTTAGAACGAGGATAAGAGATGGAGTGAAAAAAAACCCCATAAAAATGACCACAATCAATTAGGTTTACTTAAAATAAACCGACAAATTGATTTAGTTTATTTAAAACAAAAACCCACTCAACTAAGTGCATCACTGATCAATTCTCCTCTTCCGGCCAATCGTCACCTGCGGTATTAAATTTCCGGCATCGAACGGAAACTTAAGGATGGCTTTTCTTCCTCTCAGCTTAAAAAGCCACACAATCGTAAGCTCTGGCAGCATCCACGTCGGTTTCGTAAGTTCCGAGCCAGACCCGTGAACCTTTCCAGGTCGGATCTCTTATCTCTGCTGCATATTTTCCCCACGGTCGCCTCCTAACCCCTCTGTACTGCTTCTTCGTTCCTTCATCGGCCGGCGAAGATCCATTACCCGACCCGGAGAATTTTCGATCCGGGTTGGATCCGACCGAACTGGTTGTTGGGCTTAGAATGAAATTATTGGGTTTGTGATGTGATGACCGGAGAATTAAGCTCTCAGAAAGTCACTTAATTTTCAATTTTCACTCAAAAGTCACTTAACTATGCACTTGTTTCTGATAAAGTCACTTAACTTTGAATTTTAATTCAAAAGTCACTCAATTATTCACTCTTTTCTCAAAAAGTCACTGAATCTATTAAATTGTTTTTTTGATTAAAATTTATTGATATTAATTATTTATATAACAAGTCAAAATTTTTAAAAAATAAAAATACCATTTAAACCATTTAGTGATCCACCCACTTAACCCGACCCATTAAAAAATATGATGTGACCCATTTTATTTTGTCTTTAATCCTAATTCAAGGTTTAAAGAGAGGGATTAATTTAGGATTAAAGACAAAAATAAAATGGAACATATCATATTTTTTAATGGGTCGGATTAGGTGGATGAATCACTAAATGGTTTAATATATTTTAAAAAAATTTTGATTTGTTATATAAATAATTAATATCAACAATTTTTAATTAAAAATATAATTTAATAGATTTAGTGACTTTTTGAGAAAAGAGTAGATAGTTGAGTGACTTTTGAGTTAAAATTCAAAGTTGACTGACTTTCTGAGAAAAAAAGCAATAGTTGAGTGACTTTTGAATGAAAATTGAAAGTTGAGTGACTTTCTGAGAGAAGAGTGCATACTTGAGTGACCATCTGAGGTATTAACTCGGGGTATTGGGTGGTAGTGAATAAAGGAGTCTCCGAGGAGGTGTTCTCTTATGAGTTGTAACGTTAATTTCTCTTCTTCTTTGCTTATCATACTTTTTTTTTCTATTTTATTTGTTTGGGTTTAGTACAAAAGTTAAAAGTAAGAGTGGAGTGTTTTTCAAGATGAAAAAAGGAAATGACTAGTGAAGCTTGCTTCCTTATATATACGCTTCATCTCCCCATTTACTTGGAATTTTGATTTGACATATTTATTAAGTGTTCGTTTAAATTGACTTATTTTAGATGATTTTAAATTAAAATAGTTTTTAAGTAGTTTTGAATGGTTGAATAAAAGTTAAAAAGTATTTGTAGACATTTATTTTAAAGCTAAAATAATAAATATAAGCCAAAAAAATTTACTTATAACTTTGATATATATCATTAGTAAAGTGGACCCTTAATCTATTCTCGAAATTTCATAGACTCACTTATATTATACTCCCTTCGTACAGAATTATTTGTCATGTTGCACTTTTCAAAAGTCAATTTCACTAATTTCTAAAGTTAAATTATATCAGATTAATTCAATATTTTAAACAAAAAAAGTTAGATATTCTAAAACTATATAAACTGTAATTTTTTGTACATTAATATGATAAAAAAATACATCTTAAAATGTTAGTCAAAGTTTTTATAGTTTGACTCAAAAAATAGAAATCATTACAAATAATACCGGACGGAGAGAGTACTAAGGTCTTATCATTTTCTGAACTTACTTTGTAAATAATTTTCTATCCTTTTTCGACCTACATGACACTAGTTTGAAAAAAAAAAGTCGATGCGCACTGGACTCAGAAGATAGTGCCATGAATTAAAAAATCAATTCTCCATTCATATACCATAGTATGAAAATAATCCAATTGTCATATATTTTCTCCGCGCACTTTTATTTGTTATATTACGCTTTATAAAAGTTAAATTGACAAATTTTTAAAATTTTATTATATTAATTCGATATTTTAAATCAAAAAATTTAGATATTCAAAAACTATACGAAAACTACTATACATTGCATTTTTTTTGCATATCAATATGATAAAAAAATATATCCTAAAATGTTAGTCAAAGTTTTTAAAGTTTGACTCTAAAAATAGAAAATGTGACAATTAATAGTGGACGGATATAGTAATAACTAGTCAATCTGTTTCAATTTATGTAACACTTTGAATTTCAAGATTCAAACAAGTTAATCTCCTATTTCTCTATAGTCTGTTTTAGATATTTTGTATAGTCAATTATTATGACTTATAGTACTTTATTATTGTTGCATCTTTAGTAAAGATTGATGTCTATACTTGCAAAATATTTATTTCCATCAACACTTATTTGGTTCAGTTTTATTTTTATTATCATTTCAACAATAGTTAGATTTGTTTAGGCAATTGCTCAATGATAAAGAGATGAACCAATTACAATTGGCCAGTTTCTTTATAACGTGCGTAATTCTTTTGAAATTTTGTGCATTTTGCGTACCTAAATATCTTGAATATATTGGTTACTCTTATACGGATTACTTAGAATTCATCAACTTTGACATGTTGCTTTAAAGCAATCATAGTAGTAGAAAATGTAAGTTGATGAGATCGTATCAATGATAAAATTTTGTATGTACAAAGTTTGTGATTCTTGCACTGTTGTTGTTGACTTGTTGGAGTATATTTAAGCGTTAAAGAAAGAAATATTTCGTAAAAAATTCTATGGATACAATTAATTTGACAATGATATTATCATCATATTTTAAATATGATGTCATGTAAGTATTTTCAACACACGTTATTTGGATATTCAAGTGCTAACCAAGCAAACTTCTTGGATCGTGAAAAAAAATCTCCAAGCAAGTCACTGGCTTAAGATAGATAAGCTCTGAGACTGAGATTATATCCATATCTCGAAGTTTTAAATATATACATATTGTAATATCTCGTAGTAATAAAAATTACACTTGTACTAAATATCGCCCCTTGAATCATCACTCCAACCCTCAGGTTTAGGATCAACAATATTGTATTATTTGATTTAATATATTTTTGCTTGCAAACACAAAATTAATGAAGAATTAGAATAACGTGGATAATTAATATGGCAAAGGCCCCATATTGGGTACCAAATTTGCTTAGCCCAGAATTTATTTATTAGAATAATAAGTTGAATTTGTTTGAAACAAAGAGTGTGTTTGGTACGAAGAAAAATATTTTTTAAAAAATGTTATTTAATTTTCTCATGTTTGGTTGGAATAAAAATTTTGAAAATGTTTTCAAATTAATTATTTTCCCCAAAACAAAGGATAATGACTTCCCTTCAAAAGTTAAGAAAACATTTCCAAAACTCTCTTCCACTTTTAAATTATATTTTTTTTTTTGAAAAAACAACAATTTAAAAAAAAAATCAGTTTTAAAAATTTATTTTTTTATCCGATCCCCAATCCCCACCCACCCACCACCGGCCAGCCCCCAACTCACATGAGATAATAAGACCAAAATCTATATATTTTTCAAAAAAATACCGAAATTATTAACAATGAACTCAATTCAAATATTTATATATCTTCACTAGATAACAGGGATAATAAATCTATACACACATACATAGTTCTTGCTGAATCTTCACTAGGTATATATTTCCCACTTCATACAAATGAATAAATCAAAATCGAACAGTTATCTTACGGATGTTTTTGTCTTAAATTACAGAACTTAGATACACCCACGACCTTCTTCGTGTCCCAAATCACCTCAGACATTTTAGAGTCAGGTGCCATATATTTATCCTTCATCTACCCAATACTGACAATTCAAAGTAAATCAAAAATGCCTTTTCCATCTCCACTCTCCCAAATCGTCGACCAATTCGACGGTGTTAATGGTGATGCCATTGGAACAACTCTTTCATCTTCCTTTTTGATTACTAATTCCTCTGTTTCTCCTCTCCCCCTTTTACTGCCTGATGACATCATCTCTGTTTTAGTCTCATCATTTTGTTGCTTAAAGTTTGCAACTTCGAGTGGGAAATTCAATATTGCTTTGCTTCCTCTAAGCTTAAACGCTGCCCTGTCATATGCCTTTGCCGCATCCACAGCAGTATCGAATGTTCCTAACCAAACTCGAGTCCCCTTTCTATTTGGGTCACGAATCTCCGCTGCAAACTTCCCCCATGGCCTCTGTCTAACTCCCCTGTAATGCTTCTTCTCACTCTCAACGTTCTCTACAACAACAACTGGCTTCGCGGGTATCGCAATGTTCAGAGATGGCTTCCGTTCTCTCAAGTTACTCTGTTTCGGGGAATTTGAACTGATAACATGTGGTTTTGCCTCAAATTCGAAAAAACCATCATACTCTGTTTTTGAGGTATGGTCAAGATTTGAAGTTTGAAAAGAGAAACAAGATTTAGAGCAGTAATATTCCATAAAAGTAACATCATCATCAAGAAGATGTTCCCTAATGGAATCAAGTGAAGTATAAATCTCTTGTGAAGAGCCCATTTTTCTTCCACTAATCAAACAAACTGTTGGAGAAGTCAACTATTTGTGTTAAAGCTTCAAAGTAGAAGAGAAAATTGAGTAGAAAAGAGAGTGTGTGGAGGATGGGTTATAAAGAGGAGAAATGAAGAGATGAGGTTTCTTACGAGACTTCTCAGGTGGAGAAACGAAGCATCCTCCGCCTTAATCCAAAATCTTAGTCCCTCTCATAGTTTATCTTTGTTAACAAATATCCGCATAATTAATTCTCACTTTATTAATACATGTATAACTTCAGGGCATTATTAATACATATATAACTTCCGGGGCATAGGATACCCTTAGTCAAAAAATTAAATCGTATTTATAAAAGATAATATTTTAAATGATTAAATAACACAAATTTGGACACCTTTTGAAAAACAATAAAAAATTTCTAGCTTAGTAATTTTAGTCGTTCAACTCCTACTCAGTTCTTTGCAACTTTCACTGGTTCAATTCCCGTTATTTGACTTTGATTATTTTCTTTTTATTAAAAATTTAAATAAAATTTAAAAGAATTATTAAATTTAAAGTTATTAAGAAAATCCTATTTATTTGTTCCATTAAGCTATTAAAAGTGAAAATACTTTATATAAATTCTCTTTAATATAACTTGTTTGATTCTATTATTTATTTTTCATTTTTTGTTGTTAGTCATCAGAGGTTTGTGAAATGTTGAACCATAAAAATGAATTCACTCTAAACTGAAATATATCTCTTTTTCTTTATTTCTTCACTTCCTATCAATAAACGTAATAATAAAGCTAAATATTATGTAGTTTGATTTTAAAATTTTGTGATACATTTTAATTTAAAAAATTAATCATGTTATGTAGTTTGCTTTACAAAATTTAAGTACACCCATTCTTTAAATTATTTTTAGGAGCTATGAGATTTTTGGACACCCTTCCTAAAATTACTGGTTGCGCCACTGTATAACTCTATTCAACTATCAAACATCATCCTAGGGATGTTTGTACTCGAGCGATATAAGAATAAATCTCGACAGAAGATTAGAGCCCGTTTGAATTGACTTAAAAGTCTAAGTCAGTTTTTAACTTCTGAAAGTGTTTATATACATCTTTAATTTAAGACTATAAAATTTATTTTTTTCTTAAATTTTAAATCGAATCAAAATCAGATAAATAATTTTTTTTCAAAAAAAAAACTAAGAAGAAGGGATTAAATTATTTATTTACAAAATTCTCTTTCACTAATAGTGAAATAGTGAAAAAGAAATTTGAGGAAGAAATAATATTTTTAAACAACTAATGCATGCATTTAAAAGCATTGTAAATGTTGGGAATAAGCGGATAAACACAAAAATAATATGGTAAAAGTAATGGAAATAAAATGGGAAAATAATGAAACCAAAAGTTTTACGTGAAAAACCCTTCTAAATAAGGAAAAAAATCATGGGTCAAGTGGAGCAACTGATATTACTATAGTAAGTAATTTTACACTGTGTAGTCACGAATAGAATACTCAAAGTGATTACTATACACTCAAAAGGAACAACACTCTTTTGTTTTCTACCTTACTAAAATATCGCTCACACTTTATTTTTCTTCACAGACTATTTTTCTTCTATAGTCTATGGAATACCTCACTTTGCTCTCCGATATGATTTTTCTCTCTAACTTTGTGTGTTCTACAAATGAGCAAAAATGCTCTATTTATAGAAGGATAAAATCATGCCTATGTCACCAATGACATTGATAAATATAGGAGAAAATCTTTCGTCAAAGTCATTACCCTTCCTTTGACCGGAATCCTTAACCAATCTAGCTTTGTACCTGGTCTTCAAGTTGTGTTCTTCAACTTTAACTTTGAACATCCACTTGTTCTTCAAAGCTCTCATGCCCTTGGGTAATTTTACCAACTCATAGGTGTGGTTCTCATGCAGAGAGTCCATCTAATCTTGCATGCTTCAATCCATTGATTCTTGTGCTCATCTTCCATAGCCTCTTCATAACATTCAGTTATCCCCCGTTAGTGAGTAACACATACTCATTGGGTGAATAACGAGAGAAAGAAAATCGTTGTCCTATGGCTTTCGAAGTGAAATATTTGATTCGTCCATAACTTCATGAGTAATAAGATCATCAATAACAATATCATTGTTATTATAAAAATCAATATGTTGATTCGATACATGATTCTGGGTGTCACCATAATTATCAAACCCAATAACATCATGCACACCTGTGTGAAGAACATCATCATGCTGAACTATACCATCAAACTTGAAAATTCTACCTTTTCCACTTTTTAAATATCTTCAATTGTTTGATTCTCCATGAAAATAGTATCACGACTTCTCACAAGTTTCTTTTCAATTGGATTATATAGCCTGTAATTAAATTCATCATGGCCATATCCAATGAAGATGCACTGCCTTTTCTTGGCATCTAACTTTGACCTCTCATCTTTTGGCACATGTACAAAAGCTTTCCATCCAAATACTCTCAAATGGTCATAGGAAACATCTTTTCCGTACCAAACACTATTTGGTACATCACTTTACAAAGCAACAGCTGGAGATAGATTAATAACATGTGCAACGTTCATTAAAGTCTCACCCTAAAATAAGTTCGACAACTTTTCTTCAGAAAGCAAACATCTAATCTTTCCATCAAGGTCTTGTTCATTCTCTCAACCAAACCATTAAGTTGAGGAGTCTTCTGGTTCTAATATCTTGATGCTTGCAGTATTCGTCAAATGGTCCACAATATTAACCACCATTATCAGTACGATTATATTTCAATTTCTTTCCAGTTTCTCTTTTAACTGAAGCCTGAAACTGCTTGAAGACACCTAACACTTGGTCTTTAATCTTCAAGACATAGACCCAAAGTTTTCTCGAGCAATCATCAATGAAAGTGACAAAGTAGAGTTATCACGACCCAAAACGGGCCGCGACTGGCACCCACACTTATCCTATTATGTGAGCGAACCAACCAATCTAACCCCAATCATTTACCAATAATAACATAAAATAATGCGGAAGGCTTAAACTCATTAATAAAAATCAATTATATAACTTCTAAAAACTCAACAACTATTATTATCCCCAAAATCTGGAAGTCATCATCACAAGAACATCTACTTCAATTTACTAAATCTAAGAGTATCTAAGAAGCTAAAATACGTAAACAGCTAGTCCATGCCGGAACTTCAAGGCATCAAGACATGAAGAGGAAGATCCAGTCCAAGCTAGAAGCATTATCTCACCCTGAAATCCGGAGTAATGAAGACTGGCTAGAGTTGCGGTTGAGTTGAAGATGACGACACGTTTGCTGCACTCCACAAATAATCAAAAGAAAACATACAAGTAGGGGTCAGTACAAAACACGGGTACTGAGTAGATATCATCGGCCAACTCAAAATAGAAAACAGTATATATCAGATAATATCATAAAATCAACTACTATACTCAACATGCGGCATTTACAATTACCATAACCCTTGGTCATAACACCAAGCTCATCAATGAGGACCCACGCCTCCCCATCATACTCATTTGGGATTTAGGTTCATTAAATTGAGAATATTAACATATTTCAAGATTCATTCTCTTTACTAATCCTGGTGTCGGAACGTGACACTCCGATCCTCATATACTATCCTGGTACCAGAACGTGGCACCCGATCCATATTCTATCCTTGTGTCGGAACGTGACACTCCGATCCTCATATACTATCCTGGTACCGGAACGTGGCACCCGATCCATATTCTATCCTGGTGTCGGAACGTGACACTCCGATTTTCATATACTATCCTGGTACCGGAACGTGGCACCCGATCCATATTCTATCCTGGTGTCGGAACGTGACACTCCGATCCTCATAT